AAAAAGTAGATTATCTATTTTTGTTAACAGATCAAGTAAATGAATGATACATTAAATGCCATCACAAGTGATCAAACACCAGAGATAAAAAAAAGTCTTACCTTATATATTTAAATGTTATTTGATATTTCTTATAACAATTATACAAACATTATAATTATCAAAAGATAAGGACAATATTGTTATTATTTATCAATAGATAGTATTTCATACAAAGGTCATGTAAAAACATCATTCAAAAATGAAAAAAACTCATCCATGCACTTAATCAACATATGTCCCTTCTATGTTAGATCGTACGAATGTTGTGCGTTCAGTATTATCGTAATTACCAGGTTCAATACCAACCAAAAATGGTGGTAGATCATCAAAGTGGTCGTATTCTTCTTCGTCAACGACATCATCAACACCAATAATATGTCGTTTGCCTTGTAAGGCGACGTGATCTTTTATCTTGCTCGGGTATTTGATATAGAAAACCTGTGTGACATGTTTTGCGAGAATGAATGGCTCAGATACATAGCCATTATTTGAAAGGTCAACAAGTGTAAAACCATCTTTATCAACTTGAACACCTATACGGTTATTCACCCATTTACATTTGAACACAGGAACAACGAAGTCATAATAATTCAACTCCCAAATTTTGTATATAGCACCATAATAAGAATCTTTGGCTATTCTTATCAAAGTATCATGATCCCGTCTATCGAATTCGATCGTTGATGCTATCATTGTAACTCCACTATTCCGCATTGTACTCTTTTCATCTTGATCTTTGGTGTAAAACGTATAACCATTAATGTCGTACCCTTGATAAGATTTAACTCTACAATCTGGCCCACGTCCCAACCTTTTCACGGTTTCATCAACATCCGTTTCCGCTAACTTCTTTTCCAGCCAACTCGAAAACTCTTTGTTATGATTGTTTATGTACCACATTTTTTCCTTACCCGGGTATTTCAACTTTAACATGTCCATGTGTTCATCAATGTAAGGAGTAAGACATTTTATGTGTTTTAGGACCACTAAATGTGCAACTTGTAACTCTTCATAAGTTGGCATGTTTATTTTGAAACCGACTCCTCCATTTCCTTCAAGTCGACCTGAATGACGAGTTTTTAGAACACCAACACTTTCGACATCTTTCATATAGCCTACAAAAAATATTAATATTATATATAATATATTATAGATTGTTATATCTGTAATATATTATTAATAGGATTACCTTGGCAGAACTCAATCACCTCTTCACAAGTATACCTTTTAACAATACTGCCCTCTGGCCGATTTCGATTTCTTACGTAACCTTTTAGGATACCCATGTATCTTTCAAAAGGGTACATGTACCGTAAGAATACAGGACCACAAGCCTTAATTTCTTGTACGATATGAGATATGAGTTGAACCATTATATCAAAAAATGAGGGTGGAAAGTACATCTGTAGTTCACAAAGTGTAACATAAACGTCTTTCTCCCATTGATCCAAATCTTCTACATCAATAACCTTTGAGTGAATGTTGTTAAAAAACAAACAAATCTTAGTGATAGAATGTCGGACATCATCTTGCAAAATTCCACAAATTGCGATAGGAATCATATGTGTCATCAAAACATGACAATCATGAGACTTCATTCCAAACAATTTACAGTCTTTCATCGACACAAATCTTTTATTGTTTGCATAATAAGTTGATGGGACCTTAATATCATGTAAACATTGACAAAACCTTATTTTTTTTTCTTTTGATGTAGTATAACAAGCAGGTGGGAGATAAACACCATTAGCACTCTGTTCGGGGGCAAGATCTTCACGTATCCCCATCTCGGCCATGTCCTTTCGGACATTAACCTCTTTAGTTTTATGCTTCATCTCTAATAATAAGCATATCAAGCTCTCACATACATTTTTTTCTATATGCATAACATCTAGATAATGTCTAACATCCAAATATCTCCAATAAGGCAATTAAAAAAATTTGACTTTTTTTTTTCTTTCCAAAGGGCATTTTTATCAACACGAAATCTTTTTCCCAACACAACATTTAAATTTGCAACTCGTGAAAATGCATCAAATTGTTTCCTCATCGTTCTGATCTCAATACTTCCATTAAAATCAATAGTTTTCTTCCTAAAATAGTGGCCCTTAGGAAGAAATCTTCGATGTCCCATGTATATAGTTTTTTTGGAATTTGTTAACCATATTGAGCTTGTTTGATATTCACAAACTGGACAAGCTTTCTTACCCTTTGTTTTGTATCCTGACAAGTTACCGTATGCTTGAAAATCACTTATAGTACAAAAAATCATGGCTCGCAATTGAAAGTGTTGTTTCTTATAAACATCATATACATCTACACCCGAACTCCAAAGAGTTTTTAAGTCATTAATCAAAGGAGACAAATACACATCAATATCGTTACCAGGTTGTCTCGACCCCTGAATCAACAACGACATCATAATGTATTTCCGTTTCATGCATAACCATGGTGGAAGATTGTAAATGCATAAAAGAACCGGCCACGTACTATGACGACTGCTAATGTTCCCAAAAGGATTGATCCCGTCTGAACTCAGCCCAAACCGTATGTTTCTCATCTCTTTTCCAAATTTAGGATTCTTCTTATCAATATTTCTCCACTAAGGTGAATCTGCAACATGTCTTAGTTTTTCGTCAGTTACACATTCTTCCGAATGCCAACAAAGTAACTTTGCTTCTTTTTCGTTTGAAAATAACCTTTTTAGTCTTGGTATAATAGGGAGATACCACAACATTTTAGCCGGTGGTGCATTTTTTGTCACATTATCATCTACTTCATCCGAATCTTTTTTCCGTTTATACCTCGATACACCGCAAAAAACACAATTATGTTTATTCTCGAACTCCTTTCTGTACAACATACAATTATTTGGACATGCTTGTATTCTTTCAACTTCCAATCCCATCGGACACATTAGCTTTTTTGCTTGATATGTAGAAATGGGTAATACATTATCTTCCGGAAGAATGTCATACAAAACCTCTAATAGACTTGTGAAACTTTTATCAGTCCATCCGTTTTTCGACTTTAAGTTAATCAGCATACATACCACATCGAGTTTCATAAATTTGGAACCGCTATATAACGGTGTTTCTGCTTCTTCAAATACGCGTTGTAACTTTCTTGTTCAACATCATCCATTTTAGTCTCCATGTCATCAAACATTTTATTAAATTGTCATTTGGGTTATTTGAATGATGATCATCTTCATCAACATATTAATCATTGTTGTATGTACTATTATGAATATTTATATTGCTCGACGATGTGCCACAATCAAGAAGTGTTTCTCCATGTCTTGACCAACAAGTGTAATTAGGCACAAAACCATTTTGCAACAAATGATACTTTATTTCTCCAATAAAATTAAACGTTTTAAAGTTTTTACAAAGGTTACAAGGACAAGAAATCAATTCATTTCCTTTATTCATGCGATTTGCTTTGGCAACCCTAATAAAAGTTCGAACACCCTCTATATAAAATTCAAAAAAACGTGAAGTTTTGTACATCCAATAATCACGATTCATCTGAAAATTAAAATAAAGAAACAAACAATGTAATATATCGATTTTCAACAAACAGGTTATGTAAATTTTAACATTTTAATAATCTATAAAAATCAATTTAAAAACAACAATTAAACAATCATTTAATAAATAAACAGGTAATATAACATCAAAAGAACAATAAAATTTAATTTACCTTTAATGAAGATAACTAGACAATTTAATGAGGCTATTTTGAGTTTTTGTCACTTGCAGAGGGAATCTTCGGCGAAGAAGAACGTTCGCATTTACAAAGAGAAACCCTCGTGCTGATAATAACTAGCTTTTAATTGATGCGTTTTTTGGAATATGACACCAAAAAATCGTAATTTAATGAAGCGGTTTATAAAAAAACGCACCAAAAAATGAAGCTAATAATCGTAATTTAATGAAGCTGATAATCACAATTTTAATTGATGCGGTTTTTGGAATATGGCACCAAAAAAATCGTAATTTAATGAAGCGGTTTATAAAAAACACACCAAAAAATCATAATTTAATAGTGTGTTTATAGCAAATAGCATCAAAAAAATCGTTTTAATGCTTCTTTTGGTGAACCGCATTAATAAATCTATTGGAGGAATTTTTCATTGATCTTTTAAGGCGGGTTTCATGTTTTTTTTATTGCTGCATGAATTTGATGAGGCGGTTTCCACATACAACCGCCTCAAAAAAAAAAAAATCGCACTAAAAAAGCTCTTATGTACTAGTTGTAACATCCCGGAATAGCAAGAGTAGAGTTGAAGGACTAAAAGTGTAAATTTTGAAGGGCAACTCGGGCGAGTCCGTGGATGGACTCGGCGAGTAGGGCTGCGACTTTGGTCGCGAGTCAAGTGGCCTACTCAGCGAGTCCAAAGATGGACTCGGCGAGTAGGTGCTGAGTGGAGAAAACCCTAAATCCGGGGAATGAGCCCTATTTAAAGAACATTATATCCTCTCCCCAGCCTCTTTGATCCCCCTTGAAGTCCAGAAACCCTAGAAAGCGTGATTGTGGAAGATTGGAGTGCTTTTGGAGCTTGGGGAGGTGTTTGTTGAAGAAATCTTGAAGGAGAAGAGGCTTGGATCAAAGGGCTTTGCTTGGATTCGAGTTTCATTGCAGTTGGGGCATTCTTTTGAGGTAATATCTCATTCTTGGGCTATTACTCATATGAATTCATCATTTTGAGGTTTATGGGGAGCTTATCTTTGTATGTTTTAGAGTTTGGAGGTTAGATTTGAGGTTGCTACCTCAGATCTGGAATGGGGAAGGCCTAGAGAGCATTAAAGTCCCTGTGTTTGAGTACTTAGTGAAGCCATCATGTCCCAAAACCTAGCTCTAAAGTGAATAAGGCCTATATCTCTTTGGATTCACGTAAAGTTTGCCACTTTACGTGATGGATGGATTGTAGGAGGCTAGATCTATGTTTTGGATCAATTGCATGGCCTGGAATGCTTCTGTATGGATTCAGACCGGTGGTACTCGGCGAGTCACATGGGTGGACTCGACGAGTTGCTTGAAGATGAGCTGGAACTCGACGAGTTGGATGAACAACTCGGCGAGTAGGTTGAAGATAGCCTTAGACTCGGCGAGTCTGTTCTTGGACTCGACGAGTCTTGTCGAAGAGTTCCAATATTTTCTGGTTGAGTCGAGAATCGGTGAGTCAAGGGATGACTCGGTGAGTTGGGTGCGAGTGGACTCAGAGTTGTTGGACTCGGCGAGTCTCGGGGTGACTCGACGAGTTAGGTCGCGGATTGAGGGAAGTTCTGAGCATAGGGACTCGGCGAGTCATCGGGTTGACTCAACGAGTAGAGTCAGTCAGGGGTTGACTTTGACTTTGTCCAAGGTTGACCAGTTGTCTTCCAGGGGTATTTTGGTAATTAAGGGTATTTATTGAGTTGAGTGTTTTGGTGTTCAGTGGAGGAGTTCGTGTCGGAGTTCGGAGCAGCGGGATCTTATCCTTTCAGCCGGCAGTTTCAAGGTGAGTTATCCTCACTATATCAACAGGGTCTAAGGCACCAAGGCCGACCCTTTATCGGATTGAGATCCGGGTATCTGTTGTTATATTATTGCTTGATATGTTTGCATCCGGGTAGTTAGGATGGTATCCGTTAGAGACCTGGTTAAGGTCGGTATCCTGGTATGTAGGGTGAGGCTATGCTAGTGACCGGTTGGGTCGGTATCCTGTTAGAGCATGTTGTGTTATGTGATCTGCTAGATCGGTTTGCCTGAATATGAATTGTTATGTGATTGTATGTTTATGTGCACATGGTTGTTTAGACTGGAGTTGGGTTAAGGCGGGTCCTGCTTCGTGCTGTAGGCCAAGATACCCAGGGCGGACTGGTTATTCCGAAGGCTCAGCGAGCGGTCCGGATAGGCTGTAGGCCCCACAAGGGCGGACCAGACGTGTCGAGGCTCGGAGAGTGGACCAGGCTGACTGAAGGCCCGATGCGGGCGGACCAGTCATACTGTAGACTCGGAGAGTGGACCAGGTGAGTTTAAGACCCGATGCGGGCAGACCAACCACACTGCAGACTCGAGAGACATGAATGGACTCGGAGGGTGGACAGGTGGACTGAAGGCCTTACAAGGCGGACCAGTACCATCGTAGACCCGATATGCATGGATGTTCTGTGATTCGTTATGAGTTAGCATGATATGTGTATGATATATGTGGTTAGTATTTTGGGGGTATCTCACTAAGCTTTCGGGCTTACAGTTGTGGTTTAATGTTTTTCAGGTTCTTCAGGAGACTGTGGCAAGGCGAAGGCGTGATCGTACTGCTCCTTGTGATTTTGTAGTAATGTGATTCTGGGAATACTCTAAATGATTGTATTGAAAACCTTTTTGTAATAATTTAATGGAATCGGGTTGGTTTTGAAAAATTTAAATTGGTTGGATTTTTCGGTTGTTACACTAGTGGTTTTCAAAGTAAAATTTTAAGGTGGGTTCACTCAATACCTTGGATTGTATATTCTTTGAGTAAGCTTATTCTCATTAACCTTGTTAGAGGGAGTTCACACAATGCTAAAGGAAAAGGTGAAGAGTTGGCATTAAAGTTAGGGATAAATGGTGAGATATTAGAAATCTAGCTGGATGTACATGGTAAAATATGGAAATATGCTAGCGAACTAATGGAGAGAGATGACAATTTGTGGATTGGATCTGTGGAAAATTACTATCAAACTAAAATCTATATCTATATCTATATCTATATCTATCTATATATATTTATAAAAAAATATTTTTTCTTTCATCAAATTCATTTGAAACTTTTATTATTTTTTAATTTCTTTGTAATAATGATTATAAGTTGGTTAATAAGGTTAAACAAATACCTAACATAAAGTGTAATTATATATAAACTAACTTTTAATATTAAAATAATATATTTACTTTTACGTATAAAGATATGTCTTTTAACTTTTAATACATTATACTTAATTTATTATTTTAACATGTTATTGTATGTAAATCGTTATCATTTTAAATGTATAATTTTTGGATAAAATACTTAAATTTTTAATTTAAATATAACATTACAGAATCAACTTAAATATATAATTTAGTTCAGCTTTAACAACCCAAATAATATTTTGTAAATAGTTAAAAGTGATAAATTGTAGTGTCTTTCTATTATTAATTATAAATTGGTTAATAAGGTTAAGCAAATATCTAACATAAAGTGTAATTATATATAAACTAAATTTTAATATTAAAATAATATATGTATTTCTACTTATAAAATTATGTTTTTTTTTTTTTACTTTTAACATATTATACTTAATTTATTAGATTTAATATATTGTTATATGTACTATTATCAGTTTAAAGCTATAACCTTTGAATAGTTTGGATAAAATACTTCAAGTATTAATTTAAATATAACATTAAATGGTCAACTTAAATATAAATTTAAGTTCCATTTAAAAAACCAAAATAATATTTTGTGAATAGTTAAAAATGATGAATTATAGTGTTATATGCAAAAAACCAAATAGTAATATCAATATAACTAAAATATTTGGTAAATATATTTTTATAATCATTAAAAGTTTTCAAATAACTAACTTAAAATAACTTACAATAACAATAGTTAAAAATAACTATATTTAAATGATTATATTATTACATTTAAAAACAGAAATCAATGTTTGATGTTTTAAATAATTATAATGATAAAAATTATAACGTTCAATTAATAAATTAAAAAAAATTAATTAGCAATAACCAATGTTCTAAATAACGTGAGGCGTGGTTTGGCGGTAAGGTAAAAGTTAAGCTATGACAAGCTTTGGCGAGTTATGACGTTTTTCAAGACGTGACTATTTTCTATATATTACAAGAGATAAATCATATAATTATTGATTTTTATCAAGTATATCAAGTTCTTAGAAGTATTATATTAGTATTTAATATAAAAAGTTAACAAAAACTCAATTATTTTACTCTCGATAAAAAAAAAAAAAAACTAAACTAAAAAAATTCGCGCCTTGAAAAAAACTCGCACCATATCGCGATAAGGCGCGCCTTGACACGTTATTTGGGCGCCACGCTTAACAAACCCGCCTTGGACGCTTTCGTAACGGCTACACCACGACTCACGCCATGACACGCCTTAAGGCGCGCCATGGCGCGTTTTTTAGAACCATGGCAATAACAACAACTATATAACATTAAACCATATATTATTTTTTATTTTCATTAATGAGTAATATACGAGTAAAGGGCATTCAAACGATCGAGATTACGCAATTTTAATAAATGTATATATTATAATATAATTTAAAATAATCAATATATTATATCAACTTAGTATACAAATTATTATATCAAATTTAACAACGTTATTATTATATTGAAAAAAACATATATTTGTAAAAATTTCAACTATATAAGTGTTTCTGTGCACGTATTCACCTAATAGCCTAGGTAATTATAGCCTTATAGCATAAGTAATTACCACGGAAAACGGAAAAAAAGTGCACGATGCTTTATAGCCTAAGTAATTACCACGGAGTTCAAAATTAATTGTCGCCTAACAAACTTAAATCAAAGTTAAATAAGCTTTTTCTGGTAGTATTTTTTTAGATTAAATTTATTTATTTCCCCATGACAAAACATAATTAAAGCACAATAAAAGTGTCTAGAGCTGACTAGGTAGTCCACATCCACGAAACAAGCCAAATAGTTTTTAGGTGGGCTATGAATAATTCATAAATTGGAAGAACGTATCAAGGGCTCGTGCCTCCTCCTGCTTAGCACACGCACATACTTCATTCTTCTGGAAACATGTGTTTTACACAAGCCAGAAGCTGTGAATAGCATGAATAAAATATACTTGGTGATAGAGAATAATAGTTTAAAATTGTATCCTGCACATATATATACATGACAACAACTAGACATCTTTAATATTTCTCATTGACAAACTGTCGGCAACAAGTTATTTCCTAAAATAACAAACAAAGCAAGAAAATATGCTTGCATTATCATCTCCTTTATTTTCAACACCCTATGGATGGCCCTTGGCTGATAACTTTTCCAAGGTTTGCGGTGCTCCAGATTCAACTCAATCACTTCTTGAACTTCATTCATCTGATCAACAGCTAGATTTTACGCCTGAAAATTCCAGTTCTTTTGGAGGAGCTGTAAATGGCGGAATGGGTGATAGTATGAGGGTGGTCAAAAAGCTCAATCATAATGCAAGTGAAAGAGATCGTCGTAAGAAGGTTAACCGCTTGTATGAATCTCTTCGTTCAGTGCTACCCATGTCAAACGATCGAAAGGTAGATAAACATCTTGTATCTCTTGATGTGAACTTTATGAAATATCCAATTCTTATAACTTGATTGTATCTTACTGGAACGAGACTAATTAGATGTATTCCCTTCTTTTGATAGAAAAGAGTAAGTATTCCTGGAATTGTATCATGCGCAGTGAAATACATTCCCGAACTACAAAAGGAAGTGGATACATTAAACATAAAAAGGAAAAGCTTTGGTCGTATTCATCATCAACTGAAAACATCTGCATCAAGAAACAAAGTGCTAAAGATGATATCATCGATGAAAAATCATTGATCGTTTCTTCTGTGAGTGTTTTAAGTGAGAAAGAAGCTGTCATCCAGCTGATTTTATCAACAAAAAGTAGTGGCAAGAACAAGGATATTGTCTTCTTGTCTAAGGTTTTGGAGAAATTAGAGGAGGAAGAAGATGGGTTTATTTTGCTAAATGCAACGACCTTCAAATGTGTTGGAGAAGGGATGCTGTTAAACACTATCCATTTTCAGGTACATATACCATCTTCTGTCTTGCATATTTTTAATTAATTACCATGTTGTTGGATTTCATCCTCAACATATGCATATGCTTTTTACAAAGCAAAGTGTCTACATTATATTCTTAATAGACACGACGATCTTTTAAGTTTACAAAATATAAGTCAAATATGCCAAAAAATGGTATATAAGTTATAATTAATTAATTAAGGTGCTCGATGCTGCGATAATTAAACGATATTGAATCTACCAAAATAAATTCTTTACCTCTGTTCTCTTACTGCAATTTAGGAGTGGATGTAAGTGGTTTATCATTTGAAAGAATATTGTATTCTATAGAGATTAATGATAATCATATATTAAAGTGGTTTCGGAATCTTTACTAGACACAATTGGTATATTTTAAAAATCAATGGATCAAAACTTGTAGAAATATAATATATGAGTATTATTGTAAGCACAGTTCACTTTAAATTGAAAGAATCTCAAAGGCTCGTATAAAAATAGTTGGTTTTCTACATTACTTACATATTTCTGGATCTACTATGCTGATAAAGCATACATGTTTCCTATATCAGATATATTAACAATTTTAGACAATTGCTAATTATTGAATAATTTTTATGATTAATTATTTCCTGCAAATAAGTATAATACTTTATTGTCTTGAACAGGTGCAAGGAAATAAGAAGATAGATGCCCAAAAGATGAAGGAGAAGCTCCGTTCTTTTCACCAACAATAAGATGAACTTTACTCACATTGGTTATAGGGATGATGTGTAGATTTTAACATATTTTAGTTAGCTGTCACTTGTTTTAACGGCGAATTGTATATATTAGTGTCAATAGGGAACATAGTATGAAATTATGTAACACTCCTCGTATCGGTTAAAAATTATACAGAATTTTTTTGAAAGTGTTTAGTAATTTAAAGGAAATAGTGCAAAATCTAGGTTTCAAATTATAGTTCAAACTTTAAACAATCCAAGTTTGAAATTTTATGATATGAGGGTGTACAATCTTTATCTATCCATCTCTTATATACCAGACCATTGTGGTTTAAAATATGACATTTCTCTTTAATTATATTGATTTGAAACTTCTTAAGTTTTTATCATATACTTTTTAAATGATTATTTAATTGAAATATTTTTTGTCTATATAGGAAACATCTCTCTCTCTCTCTCTCTCTCTCTCTCTCTCTCTCTCTCTCTCTCTCTCTCTCTCTCTCTCTCTCTCTCTCTCTCTCTCTCTCTCTCTCCTTTTGTTTTATTTTTGTTATCTACATGAGAATGAAAAGTTTTCAAATTTGTAGTGTTCATGAGCAAATCCAAAATATTTTCCTTTCTTCTTTCCACATCCTTTTTTCTTATATTTTCTTAAAACTTTATAAAATTTGTAGTGTTCATGAGCAAATCCAAAAGATTTTGCTATTTAGATATGATAAAGAATTGTCTCAATGTTATACATTTAGAGCCAAAAGAAAAATGTTGTTAATTTTGATGTATTATGCATTGAAAATAGGTTTGTGAAAGAAAAAAGAAGATAAAAACAATGAAAACTTTTTAGGTAAAGGTTGTACATTTATACCTAAAGGAAAAGTGTTATGAATTTTGATGTTTTTGAAGTGTGTTTAAACAAGAATTGTGTTTTGAAGGGTTCTCTTCACATTGATGAAATACGTCTTGGAATAGTGTTAAAGGTCATTAACTATTGATAATATTTCTAATAATAGCAGGGTCCTTTTGGGTTACCATCAAGACCCAAATTGAGTAGAATAAATAAAAGGAGAAATTGGTTTATTAATTATTATGGTTAATAATTAATTAGAAACTAATTTGAAATATATTTTGGAAATATATCTTGGGAATTAATTAACAGTTTAATTAATTAAAGGGTTGAATGTTCATTAATCGATATTTGGTTAATTAAGAATTTTCCAGAACCCTTATGGAATTAGGGTTGGGTGAAAATCACTCCATCCGATATAGGAAAGGAGTGAAATTTCGTGGTTATGCCTCTATCCCATATGGGAAGGAGTACTAAACCTAAGGAGACATCCAAGACTATAAATATGGCCTTAGGGATTCCTTTCCTCCTTGTACCTTGGCTTGAAGTGTTCGCCAACCCTTCTTCCTCCTCCCATAGGGACGATTTCTAACCCTTTTTGGGTTTGGGAAATTGACCCTTCTCCTAGTTATTTTTATTCCACTCTTTGGTGTCATTGGGTGTGATGCCATTAGAGGGATTCTGGTTTGGGTCCTTTCATCCACGCAACTTCATGGAGGTTCAAGATCTCAAGCATGGAGATCAAGGGCTACATAAGAGGTACGTTTTCTTACTTATGTTTTAGTTTTCTAAGGTTGATGTAATTAACATGAAGCCATAGATCCATATGATACATGTACACTTAGGTATATCGTTGTTTTGATTTTTTCGTTGCCTAGTTTTACAGTGTATTTGATGCATAGAAAACCCAACAGTGGTATTAGAGCCATTGGTTCATGGTTACCTTCACCCTAGATCCATTTTTTTCTGAAAAATAATTGTTTGAAATTGAATGGTAGAAGGATTATTGAAAAATTCGTAATTGATAATACCTTAGTCGCAGCTCACGACGTGAGACGTAAGAGCTCACGACGTGAATTAGGGTTTTGCATTTTTTTTTTTGTCATTTTTCAAATATGTAGCTTTGATAAACATGGATGAATACCTAATTTAAATTGTTTTTGAATCTGGAAAATTGATAAATATTATTTAAATATGTTTATTTGAATTTGAATATTTATTTGATTATTTGAATTTGTATATTTATCTATTATTTAAATAGTGAATTTAATATTTAATATTATTTGTAATAGACAACTAAATTTAAAGAATTTTAAATTTACCCCTTGTATATATATATATATATATATATATATATATATATATATATATATATATTAGAATTGTGTTTATTTAATGTATAAGAAAGTTATAACATGTGCCCTCGGGTGTTTAAATATTGACATTGTTAGTCTTACCTTGACTAGGTTTACCGATTCTAACGTAAGGGTTTAAGGAGGTCTCTTTGATTCCTAATGAGGTCGGTTTTTAATATGCTTCGCGCTTACCACCCTCACCGGCCATATTGCATTTTTAGAATTAAGTTACCGAAAAGGTTTGATAGTGACAATGGTCAATCTAAAAGTATTCTAAATACAAGTATAAAACAAAATCCTATTTTATTAATAAAATGTGAGTTTATATTATCCATGAAAATTGCACATTCTCTTTATGTTCTGTTGGTGGAGCTCGTGTGGTTAACCGACACATCAATCTAGAATATAGTTGAGAATGAAATGGAACTCGGGAATCTCAAGTGTAACTTAAGGCAGGGACCATGCGATTTTGCAAGGTTAATTCTCAATCTATTTAATGTGAATAATATGTTATCCATAAAAGTTGTACATTCTCTTTATAACTTGTTAATGGAGCTCGCGTGGTTAACCGGCACATCAATTTGAGAGTATAGGTAGAAAATGATGTGCAACTCGTGAATCTCAAGCGTAACTTGAGCCGGAGACCATGCGAGTTTGTAAGGTCGATTCACTATTTGTTCAGTGATCCGCGACGACCCCGTCATTGAATTTGAGATGAACATAATATGAGATTAACATGCCATTGATAGTCAATGAATCTCAAAGATCTGGGAATTTTGTGGTGATCGAAATTGGCAAAGGGATTTGTCTACCTAAATAGCTTTATGGTGTGTTTATGGCATCCCTTTACACATCATGGAGCCAAATATGGATCCTAGCCTTCTAAAATAATTTTATTCAAGGTGATTATTTTCTAAGGGTAAGTAAAACAAACTTTAATGGAATTTGTTATTGAATGATGTCTATAACCTTATCCACTAAAATCTACTTCTATAAAACCTTTGAAAGGATTAGCTATGAGGATGACTAATCTTGTCAATTTTGTAGTTTAGGAATAGTTCTCATAAACGAAAGGAAAGATCACGCCTTTGTTAAATCACTTCCTAGGTTACTTCAAACATTGCATTCTAAATTGTTAGAAAGAGAAATTATCAAATGTACGTTGAAAATTGATATATTGAAGTAAAATGGAATTTCCTTGAGTTAGGAGTTGACTAGGGTTAATCAACTAGCTGGCATGTACATATAATCAATTCATTTTGACTTTTGATATGAACAACTTGGAATGACCATGAAGGAGTTGTGTAGCATGTTGAGGCTCCCTTTTGGAATTAACATGGAAATCATAGAAATTCATACTTCAAAACACTCCCATATTTTACTATCATGAATAGAAGTGTCAAGAAAAGGAAAGCCAATTGCCCATGGTTTAAAAGGCGATTAGTATACCTAATATATGCCCTAATACCTAGGACAAAGGAAGGCTTACTCTAAAACATGTTCTGATAGCTACTCGTTTCTATAACAAGAAAAGGACTAAACTTGCCCAAATGTATATTTAAGGTGAAAGGACCGAAACATGAAGAAGTTAAATTTGGTAATGGATCACGATCCCGTGCTACTTTCCATAGGATCAAAAGATAACTAGTTCTTCAATGTTTGGTATTCAATATATGGATTTATAATGCCATCAAAACATTACTTCTAAAACTGAAGTATTTTACTAAGGATTAGTACTAAAATTTGCGAGAATGTGCAGTTGCTAAAATGAAGTAAGAAGACTAAAACATAGAGAAAATAATTTGATCATGAATGCCAAGCACTTGCTACATTCATAGGATCAAAAGAAAACTCTTTTCAAAATATGTAGTCTATGGTATTATAATTGAAATTGTTTATACTATGATTCATGAGATAATTCTGACTTATTTAAATGTGGAGCCTTTTAACATGTTAAATTTCATGATATCTATGAAGATAGTATAGTAGCAATAGTTCAAAATTGATTTGAACATTTGAATAAGGTGTATTATTGAGAATATCTGTTGATGTTAGTTCAACTAATGGATTGTTCAGATTGACCATAGTAAGTACTTATTCAAATACATCTAAATGTTTGGGTGAAATGTATTTTTGGAATCATAGTCTTGGATACATAAATGTGAAATGCATTACCAAATATCCAGTTGGATCGGATTTTGGATATCATTCGACCTCGAGTCTTATGATAAATGCAAATCTTGTTTATCAAGATAAATGATGAATGCATCACCGGGTGATGTGAATATCTGTTGGAATTAGTTTTCACTAACGGACCGTTCAGATCAACCATCATACATGGTGAGACCAACTTCGTATGAATGTGAGTCTGAAACCTTTCAGGTGCTCAGAGCTCTCATAAAGCGAAAATAAGAATCAACTTCATAATGAGAATCTCAGTCCGAACTTTATATATCATTTGAGGAATTGTGAAAGCTTTTCACGATCTATTTCCACCTAGAACACTGCCACTAAGAAGTTTTAGTTGGTTAGAGAAACAAAACATTAATTGATTTTGTACTAGATGAGTCGCACTGTGTTTGCTAACAATTCATTGATTGTACCATGAATAATGTTACACGAAGTCCTTTAGTCTTGTGCCAACTAAGTAGGTTCTTGAAACACTCTATGATATGTGAAGTGGGATTCTATCCTCACTGCCATATATGGAGGTCTACGAGTATGAGGCTTATGCTCGTCATGAAATGCTCGAAAATCTAGAACTTTGAATAGAGATGTGTTATCTTGTTGGTGAACCCATCAAGAATTTTGGATAACTGTTTAACAATCCTTATGAGAACAAAGTGTATGTTGTTTGAAAGGCAATCTTCCGAGAGAGGGAGCTGATTTCCAAAAGGGCTAGTGGGAGCCACATTGCTCTTGATAAGATTTGAGAGTTAACGAACGAAGAGCCTAATGTTGGAGATAGCATTCAATTTAGAATGGAAAGATCTATT